CTCATATGCAGATTAGCTCATGATGATGATGATAATGCTTATGATGCTAGAGATAATAACAACGATAACAAAACGATAATAATGATAACAAAACTGAAAATGAAGAGTTAATGAATGAATGAATGAATGAATAAATTTATGAATTAATAAATGAATGAATTAATTAATATGCGTGCATGCATACATACCCAGATGTTATCTCGTGTAAGAGCATCGAATCATCGTAACCAATGCAAGTACTATAAAGGTTAATGTTTATTCATTAGCTTAAATTATGATAATTTATATTACAAAACAGTTAGGGAATACTAATTAATCAATCAACCAACCAACCGACCGACCAACCAACCAACCAATTAACCAACCAACCAACCAACCAACTGACCAACCAGCCAACCAACCGATTAGGCGGATTATAGAAATCAGCTGACTGGATGACATCATCGACAACTGCGTCAACAGCATCTTTCTGCTCTTCCTCCCAAACCTCGTAACCAAAGAAATCATATTCATCTGGTGGCCGCATCGTGTCAAACAATTGCACACCCCTGGTGACAAAGATGAAAATTTGAAATTTGCTTAAATCAAAAAAATGGAACAAATTACAATGCGTAGGTGTATATTTTGCAACATGAACAAAAGGAAGACCACCGAGTCGTAAGCTGAGACGGGAAACAAACCAACCAGGATGAGTAAGCGATGGTAATAATGATAACTACGAAAGAACTTCACGGCGGGATGCAATTATTTAAAAAATTTAAACTTTCGCGCCGAATGTTGCCAGCTGCAGACGAGTTAAGTGAGGCAAGTCTTACTACAGAATGCAGTTAGTTAGGAAGCGGGGCAACGACGTACGAAGCAATATAGTTTAATTGCATAGCGGATATGAACAAGTAAACCGCAGACAAAAATCCAAACTTCATCGGCGGATCTTTAAACGAGAACACTGGTCGGCCTTGAACTTTCGACGGAGACATCACCTGACCTTTCGGTGAAGACGCTTGACCTTGAAAGTTCAAGAACTTCCAGAAAGGTCGTTGGACTCGTATGCAGTTGAGTATGCTATCTATCGTGCTGTAATATACAATGTAATGGATAAAAAATGGAATCGGTGATTTCTCTTCATGAAACATTTGGTTGTGCTTGTTTTAATTACAACGATGAAAATACGATAATTCTAATTCATTTTCACCTGTAAAACCATCACCATCATCAAACCATTACAGCCATCATCATCATCATCACAATCATCATCATTACCTGGACAATAGTGGGGTCAAAGGTCGAAGAGGAGGGCATGGGTAATCCAGCAGTGATCTCAGGGTCATCACCAGGCTCTGTGCAAGGCTCTTCATACAATATCCACCCTTATAAATATATGCGTGTGTGTTTGTTTGTGTGAGTGTGTGATTGTGTGTGTGTGTATCCAGAATTACAGAAACTTCATATCAATTTATTGCCATTTTTATTTTCTTCATTATTTATACAATTAGGAACATCATTATCATCATCATCGTCACCTCCAAAATAAGACAGATTTTTCCATTACAAACTCCTTTAAGCATGTGCGTAAGATGAGCAAAACATTGGGGACTGACTTCGTTGCGACCCTGGACCAATCAATCAATCAATCAATCAATCAATCAATCAATCAATCGATCGATCGATCGATCGATCGATCAATCAATCAATCAATCAATCAATCAATCAATCAATCAACCAACCAACCGATCGATCGATCGATCAATCAATCAATCATCAACCAATCAATTAATCAATCAAATAATCAATCAATTAATCAATCAGATAATCAATTAGCATTTTAATGAATAAGTGATTAAGTGAAAGAACAAACGAATGAACAAACAAATAAACGAATGAAAGGATAAATGAATAATAAAAATATACAACCTCTGGGTCACCAATAGCAGCATCGAATCCACACGATACGATGATTAATTCTGGCTGCAACTGTATAAGCGTAATGAATGAATGAATGAATGAATGGATGAATGGATAAATGAATAAATAAATTAATTAATTAATAGATGAATGAAAAAATGAGCAAATGAACAAACGACTCAATGAATGAGTGAGCGAATGAACGGAGAAAAAGATAAAAACGTAGATAGAGATCTGAAGCCATCACCTCGTAAGCTACAGGCATGAGTACTTGCTGAAATATCGAGATGTAATCACTGTCCTTGAGGTTGACCTTCAAAATGACGACGATGATGATGTGACGATGATGACGACGACGATGATGACGACGATGATGATGAAGTGGACGACAAGCGATGGCACGACAAGAAACATTACCATCACAAGGACAACAAAGTTTAAATTATAAGCAACAACAAATGAATGCATGAACGAATGGATGGATGAATGAATGAGAGAAAGAGAGGGAGAGAGAGAGAGAGAGAGAGAGACGAAAAAACAAATAAGACTAATGACCGAGCGTGAAAGAAATAAGGCGAAGACTAGGCAAACAACATGATCATAACAATAACCAACCACACTACCACCTTATTGAGCGGAACGTTAATGTTGAAACCTTCGGCTCCGAGCTCGCCAACAAAATCGTAATCAGACCTCCTCAAGTTGGGCCAGAATGAACCGTGCTCGTAACGATGCATTGAAAAGTACAACACTCTAAGAATGAATAAATGAATGAGTGCGCGAACGTGAATAAAAAAATGAATGAATGAGTGAATGAATGAATGGATGAATGAAATGATAAATGAATGGATGAATTAATTATAATGAACTAATTATTTGACGGATGGCAGATCAATTGTACTAATGAAAATTAAAAACTGAAAAACCAATTAAACAGAAAAACAACAAACCGGTCAATCAATCAACCGTCCATCCGTCTATCCGTCCATCCATCCATCCATCCATCCATCTATCTATCTATCTATCCTTCCAATCAGACAACCAACCACCATAGATCTATCATCAGACGGACAGGCAGACAAACAGACAAACCTGGAATCATCATAGAACATATCCTGAACACCCTGGCCGTGGTGAACATCCCAGTCGACGATCATGACCTTGTGAAGGTCAAAGTTCAAGAAGGCGTGCGCCGTTGCTATGGCAACGTTGTTGAAGTAACAATAACCACAACCCTCGTTTGGCATGGCGTGATGGCCTGGTGGTCTAGGGGCGTCGTTGTAATAGTAGTAGTAGTAATACTAGTAGTAGTAGTAATAGTAGTAGGTAGTTTGGTGTGTTTTAGGGGTTTTCTCAGAGTTCATTTGTTTGTAAGGATGATGAAATGTTTGTGCTGATGTATGTTTTTGTCGTTGGTCTTATTGTTGAATTGTGCTGCTACTGTGTAAATAATAACAGTGAAAATAATAATTGCTACTATTATTTTCACTATTATTATTATTATTGTGTGGGCGCGCGACGACGTAGCGGTAAAGTGCTTGGCACGGCTATTGCGATGACCAGATTCTACTGCAAGAAGCTCCTCGCCTCTCATATGCAGAAATGTGCGTGATGGGTTGTTTCACGCGTACTTGTGTGTGTATGCATTTGTTTGTCTGAAAGCTTTTGAAGAGTGAATTGTACTAATAATAAAGACACAAACGAACTGAGGCCATATCCATGTATGGCGATCAATCACCTTATTATGGCCAGTGCCGAATCAACCTGTGAAAAATTTATGAAAAAAAAAAATCATTTAAAAATAAAATAATATTAACGAAATAAAAATAATTATAATAATAACCAATAATAATAATAATAATAATAATAATAATAATAATAATAATAATAATAATAATTAGTACTATACATACCTTGTTGCTTAGTACATGAGTTACTGCCTCAATAGAGCAGCCAGCAGAAAGTGAGGCACATTCAAATGAGTTCTAATTTAAAATTTCAAAAAACTAAATTAATAAAGTTTTGCAAGCCCATCCTGCAAACAGGGTATAAACATAAAACGAATAATATACATAGAAAGATATTTCAAAAACGTCAGGATATACTTAAATATAAGCAATGAGACAATGGTTAAAAGGTTAAAAGTCAATTACACCCCTGATATCATACTATGGGAGAGTACATGATTGTACAATGTAAAAAGTATACACTAAACCTGATTGCAAACCATCAAAGTGAAATTTTTTTAAATTTATAAAACACAAACACATTAACTAACCAAAAATAAAAAATAGCTTCTACATAAATAACACATGAAAATAAAGAATAAAAGTTTTGTAATTAAGAAAAAATAAATATGAAAAAAATGGAAAATACAGGATGAAAATAGAGAGAGTCATATTTGGTTGAAAGTATTTTGAGCTGTTCCTCGTTCATACTGGCCGAACGTTCGACTATGTTGTAATACTGCTCTGTGTGCTGTAACAGAACCTCAGATTTTGTTGCTTTTCGTGGCTTTTTTTGGGGAAAAAATAAGTTAGGGAATTTTAGAGAAACATAACAAATGGTTATAATTATTATTATTCATTTCAAAAAAATAACTCAAAATAATAATAAATAAAAATAATTAAATCAGATGAACTAACAAGAATAATAATATAAAAATAATATATATAAAGAGAGAGAAAGTGAGAAAAAAGGGAAAAAAATGAGAGAGAGAGAGAAAGAAAGAGAGAGAGAGAGAGAGAGAGAGAGAGAGATAATATAAAAATCTAGAATGCATATTTAGTATATAAAATAGTAAATGGTACCAAAAAACACTGACTAACTAACAGTTATCAGATAGCATTGTTCTATGAGATCCATCTCCCTACATCTATCCAGGCAGGTGTTTAATCTCTCTGGGTTCTCCGGATATTTGTCGTTCCATATGTGGTAGAAGTTAGTCAGGGTTTTGTCAAACACTAATCCAACTCTGTGAATTACCAAAATACAAAATAAGGTTGTGTTTTTTAACCATGTTTTATTTTAATATATTGATTATACATTCAGTATAATATAAATATATTCCTATTATTGAACATTAATGAAATAGTATTTAAATTATTATTATAAGATAAAATGTTCATAATATAAATCATATCATTATTTTATTGCCTATTATATATATACATATATATATTTATAAATAACAAATTAAATTAGCATTTTTTATAGCGTACAATAATTAATTTTATAAAGTTAATAAAAACACCGGACAATAATAATATAATATTAATCTCATTGTTGAAAGATATATAATCAAATAAAAAAATTACTTTTATAGAGCTAGATTTTCAAAACGAAAATAGAAAACCTTTTATTATTTCCTGGCTTTGCTGGCAGATCCATTTTTATTCATATGTACAAATGAACCAAACCAAACCATACAATGCAAGAAAAAAGGAATGATCTGATCTGATGATGTAAGTCACCTAGGTAACCAGAAAAAAATATAATTCATGATTTAATTATGACATTTAAACTAAACTGAATTATTTCATCTATAATTATCTGATACAATATCCGAATTCTAAAAATCACTAATTAGTCGATTAGTTGAATTAGTGCTTAAAAAATTAAAATAAAATGAATAAAGTGAAATGATGAGCTTGAGAAGGACATGCAACAAAAATTTTCAGAACAGATTCAGATCAAATTTACTTTTATTTATAAATTTAATATCAACAAATTAAAACAATAATACAAAAATTAAAAATATCTTAAAACATTTAAATCTAAATTAGTAAATCGACAAAGTTTAATAATGTTTACTGTTGCTTGTAAAAGTAAATTTCATATGTAATTTATAAAAGTGAAACTAAATAATTACTGACTTGAATGGTGCCAGGATGAGGAACAGAATCTACTGGTTTATATTGAATTGAATTTAGAATGAAGTAATTATTAAAAAAAACTATTACTTTTTTAAGAAATTATTCAGAAATATAAGTATTTATAGAAGTTTTGTAACATAGAGCTTGTTTCATATCATAAATCCAAAATACATTCAAGAATTATATCAGATTTCGACCAAAGTTATTAAAAGACAAAGTCCATTTATAAAAATGTTCGAAAAATTATCGTGAAAAAAGGTTAAATTCGTTAGCCTAAAATATCATGTCTGTCTGCAATTAGTTATTTGATCATTTATTTAAAAGTACTATTTATAATATTAAGTATTCATGTGTATGGATGAATGGGTGAATGGAGTATTTGCTTTATTATAATTTTATAATTATATATATATAATTATAATTTTATTTTATAAATTTTATAATTATATATATATATATATATAGCTAATTAATATATATATATATATATATATATATATATAGCTAATTAATATATATATATATATATATATGTTGGTAATAGACCATAATTTTTACAATATTCTATAAATTCTACGGAATTTTTGGCGTTAATATGTTTGTAGTTCGTTTTTTCAATTATAGACCATAATTTTTACAATATTCTATAAATTCTACCGAATGTTTGGCGTTAATATGTTTGTAGTTCGTTTTTTCAATTAAAGACCATAATTTTTACAATAAATTCTATAGACCATAATTTTTACAATATTCTATAAATTCTAATAGACCATAATTTTTACAATATTCTATAAATTGTAATAGACCATAATTTTTACAATATTCTATAAATTCTATTGACCATAATTTTTACAATATTCTATAAAATCTAATAGACCATAATTTTTACAATATTCTATAAATTCTAATAGACCATAATTTTTACAATATTCTATAAATTCTAAATTGAAAAAACGAACTACAAACATATTAATGCCAAACATTCGGTAGAATTTATAGAATATTGTAATATATATATATATATATATATATATATATATATATATATATATATATATATATATATTGCCCTATTTTACGGAATTAATTAATAAATTACGGAATATATATATATATATTTTATATATTGCCCTATTTTACGGAATTAATTAATTTGTCTGTCAACAGGCACATTTCCTGTGTGTCTGTGTGTCTGTGTGCTAGCGTCAGTTTTGTTTTGGGTCAGTCTGTGTTTTTGTAAGGGCTTCGAACCGTAATTTTTTTGTTCCGGTTTTCGGTTTCGGTTCGACTAACAAAATATATTTCGGTTCAGTTCCGGTTTTCGTTCCAGATAAAATTTCGGTTCGGTTCCGGTTATCGGTTCAGTTCCGGGAAACGTTTTTGCCCATCAAAGTTATTAAATTTTGTAAATGGTCATCACAATCCTACTGGCGCAAATTTGTAAAGCAAAGTAAAGAACACTTATAAAATGATGTAAAATTATTGATAAGAAGCCAAATTAATTTTCAATTTTAATAAAAAATTTTAAATTAAAAATTTCGTAACAAATAATTCTGAATGCAATAATCACGAAACTTAGCGAAAAAAAATTAATTATCTTCCAGACAAGAAATGAAAGGTGAATTTCTTTGATATTACGTGGTGGAGCGCGCTAATAAATTTGCGGGCAAATATATTTAATTAATTATATTTAATTGCGTTTTTGTAAATGTTGCCGGTATCGCGTGTATCGGATG